ATTTGTAGTTTTAGGAAATATTTAGACTTCTTTGCATGTGAGCAGTTGTGCCTTGTGTTTATTTGCACCTACACACCGCCTGTGAACTCATGGCAATGCCATGAATTTTCTAGTTTTTTCTTAGACCAGAAATACTCAGAGGTGGTTTTATCAATTCCTTCCTCTCACCAAGCTACAACTCTAAGAATTTCATAGAATACAATCATGGCAGTTAAAGTGGTATTAAAGTGCTATAATAGTGTAGTATGAAAGAGCCCTAAGTTGTACTCCAAACCAGTAATGTTTACAAAGCATCATCATTACAAGAGAATGAGGGTACATTACCCTGACTGCTGTTAATGTTTTCCTCACACAAACAAAACACTGTATTGTCCAGATAAAACTAGTAAGTCGGGAAGAAATCTACTACACACGTTTTGCATGAACGGTGGTGGTATGTTCTCAGCAGAAACACCAAAGAGCTTTAAAGGAAGCTGAATGTTTTTGTAGGATTAGTCGAGATTCTCAAGAGAGTTTTCCCATCTCAAGATTGGCTTTGAATTTCAGCTCAGCTGAAATTCTGGCAGTGATGCACTTTTCAAGGTCAGGTGAAGATATTTGGGTGCATGAGGCAAAAAAATCAAAATGGCAGCTCTTTATTAGCATGGGAAACAATTAATTGGGACAAAATCCTCTTACTCGTCTGGTCTTAAAGCAGCTGGCACAGGATTACATCCCAGAGGATTTACTTCAATTAATCTGGTTGCTTTTCTTGTACTCTTCTCCTGCTCGTAATGTCCAAGCCTTCTAAGGCACCAAGGTGATAGAGCAATAGCTCCTTTGCAACTAACCTGTTCAGCTTCACAACTAAGGGTGACAGTACAGAATAATAATGTTGTATGTATTGTGAGAATGGTGTTTCTGAAAATCTTTGAGCCAGCACAGCTATATTAATAGGGATATAGACGAAAAAAAATAATGTTTCCAGTTTCTGGAGTCTAGAGGGGAAACTGGTGATCAAAGCTGAAAAAAGATCGGTTTTTGCTGTAACCATTCAGCACCACACTCTCCTTAACAGTATAAATAATATTACTGGGTCCTAGTTTTCAGGCTGTGAGATCAGGCTGTGGAACAGATTTGGCTTGGCAGCCTTGTCCTTTTGCATTATATAATCCGCTCTCCACCCACTCTCCATATCTTGTATTGTTGCCAGGTCCTGCCTTGGCATCATGAACAAGGCCCAAAGGCTCAGATGTCCCATACCTTTCTTCTCTCACTATGGGGCCTCTCTCTCACACACCTCTCCAAGTGCCAGCCTGCCCCATTCTACCCATCCTCTTAGCGACCTTGGACTCCACACGGGGAGAGACACGTGAAGGCCAAACTGGGTGGACTCTCAACCTGCGTCTCGGGCTATCTTTGGGGACGGTTGTTGCTGCCTCATGTCTGCTCAAAGGCTACTATTGACAAGAGTTTAGCAGGGGTTGCTAGGGAAGGGAGAGCTAAAAGGGGCAAGCTGGACTCGCTGTGCTCTTTACAGACAGAGGGAGATGCACAAGAAATTGCTATGCCATGTTGTAGTAGTGAGTTCTCTTTTTCAGGGTGTTGACCAGCCAGTGCCACTCTCAATTTGTACTACATTCCATCCCAATCCTTTCTTGTCTCTCATCCATCCTCAATAGTCAATCTGTTTTCCATACCAAATGAGCATGACCTGTTTTGACTGGGTTGTTTGGTAGACACAGGGGTTCCTGTTCCAAGACTTTTTCTACTTCTAAATACAGTCTGTCTTGCATATCCATGGTTTTAACTATACATTGTATTGTCTAAGGCTTTCATGGCCGGAATCACTGAGTTGTTGTGAGTTTTTCAGGCTGTATGGCCATGTTTCAGAAGCATTCTCTCCTGACATTTTGCATGCATCTATGGCAGGCATCCTTAGAGATTATGAGGTCTGTGGGAAACTGAGGATGCCTGCCATAGATGCAGGCAAAACATAAGGAGAGAATGCTTCTGGAACATGGCCATACATCCTGGAAAACTCACAACAACCCAATTATACATTATTATTTTTTAAAAATAAAAAGCCTTGTTTTTGCCATGTTATATAAGAATATTTTGCCATGCCGTTGTTGAGCATCTATGGAGTTTGGTATCCACAGGAGGTCCTGAAACCAAACCACAGCAGATACCAAGAGTATATTGTATTTTTACATTAATTTCATATTTAGGACTGGATGCTATCTCCAAGTGCTCAGTGTATAACTACTGCAATGGTACACTCTCCTGCAAAATATACTCCTGCCTTTGTTCGAGAAGATATTCCAGGTAATAAAGATAACTAGACCGTGCTGCTTGTCATCTGTTCCTGTGGGGTATCAAGACATCTTTTTGTACAGTTTGTCTTGGAGAAAGAAATGAAGGCAAGGCAAGAATAAAAATAGTAAAGGAGCAATGACCTTTCTTTCTTGAACCTTGTGGAAATTAAAGGAGAAAGGATGCTTTCCCTTTTCTATGGCGCATATAGCAATTTGTTCTGTAAGGAACAACTGTAGCCACAAAAAAAATGGGAATACAGGATATTCATGATATGTGAATACCCCCATATCCACAGGTCCTGCATTCATAAATTCAACCATCCCTGCCTTGAAAATGTCCAAATATATTCCCAAAAGCAAAACTTGATTTTGCCATTGTATATATGTAATTACCTCTCCATTGTATACAATGGGACTTGAGCATCAATAGATTTGGGTATCCACAAGGCATTCTGGAATCAAGATACCAAGAGTTCATTACATAAATGACTTTGCTTCCTTCCATATTCTCAAAGAATATGTTGGAAGTGGAGAAGGCATGGTGTTGTCAATAACTTCTACAGAAGTCAGTGGGATTTCGTACTTTAATTAGGAATAACAACAGCATTTTAGTATAAAGGTGGTGTGTAGGGCTACAGCCATATCTTTTCAAAGCAGTGCTATGCCTGAAATTTTATAGAGTAAGTGTCCAGCGCCAAGGGGCTACATGGTGGGCATCTTTGTCACCACTTAGAACTGAATACATCTCAATTACAAAACTTGCTGGTGGCTGCTTCTGGAAGATATTTGGGCAGCAGTGGGGTGGCTCCAATGTCAATGTGGCAATAAATTCACTCCAGGGACTTCATCCGACATGATTAGTAAAAGGATCATAGTTTTGCCCTTTGTTTAGCAATGCTCAGGGTCGTAGCCAGAGAGGGGAGGGGTTCTAACCCCCCCAAACCTGGTTTACTCATGAATTTTAACTGGTTAACGAATTTGTGAGTTAACCAGGTTTCTTTTTTAACCTGACACATTTAACCTCCCTCCCCCGCTCTGGCTACAGCCCTAGCAATGCCCCTTTTAGATATTAAAGAAATGATTTTCCTAACCCGTCACACATTTTCCACTGTTCTGCTTTCTTTATAAATTATCCATTTGCCTTCCCACCACACACAAGAAATATTTATCCTCCCACTGTTCCCTCCCCCATTTTATTTTTATTTAAAAAATCGACATGATTTCTTTTCTTTGCAAGCAAAAAGTTGAGAGAACAAAAATAATAAATTACTATTTCTTCCTCTGCAGTCCCAAAACAGTATTGGCGGAAGAAAGGAATCAATACTGCCCACCTCAGCTCCTCCCTCCAGCACAACGACAAGAAGACAAGCGAGATTTCCATCACATGTGAAATTTGCCATTTTTGCCTGTCGCTACACGGGGAATTGAAAATTATAGTAATTGTCAATCGACGTGCTGTCACGCGCTGGGCTCCTATAAAAGACTATAAACAGGACTTAATTTCTGTGAGCCCAACGGGACGCCGGGGTTGCCTCAGAGAGAGGTTTTTTGGGATTTTCCTGAAAAGATGGGCTTCAAAGTCTTTAAAGATGCAACAAAATCTTTATTACTGAACAAATAACAAATCTTCAATGATTGACTCCAAAGTTTTCTTAACAAACTATCGGCTTTCCTGATCTTGCCCCCAAAGGCAGGCAACTGTTTCTTCACTGTTGGGAAAATCCCCGACCTCTACCTGGGCAATCTGTCTTCTCTTCTGTTGGCGTGGGGCCCCTACACCCAGTCCAATCTGCTTTATGGTTGCCGCGAAGGGCCCTTACCAAACAGAGACCTTTGCAGAACTTCCAGGAGGAGGAAGATGTTCACTTCCCAGTGATGGCTGGCTGAAGCACTGTGGGACTGGATCCCAAGCAAGAGAGCTGAGAGACTGTAAGTTCCTCAGCAAACTGTAAAGTCCCCAGCAAAAGCTGTGTTGAGACTGTATATCCCTGGCCAAACTATGGGGCTATTTCTCCCCGGCCAAGCTGTAAATGATGAAGCCCTTTACAGGAGGTCCTGGTTTAAGTCCTGTAAGAAAGACTTCTCTGTGTGGACTGACCTAAAATGGCTCCTATTCCCTCCAAAACCCAAAAAGGGGGCGGAACTAGGGAACCTAATGATAATTGACAGGTCATTGACCCAATAACTGCAAAGTAAGGAAAGCCATCTAACTGCAAATGCATAGAACTTTAAATGACATGCAACAATCCACAAATGGCAAGGTAAGCTGGAGCTCCTGGTACAGCTGTTCCAGAACAATCGAGTTCTAAATTGTTGGGGGATAAAACACACTTTCAAAATGGTGAAAGACTAGAAACCTATGAAACCAGTGTGCATCAAGTGTAGCCATTTCTAAAGTGTGTAGAAATGCAGAGTTTACGGCATGTGATGAAGTCCCAGGTTTTATTACAAACTTTAAAGAAGCTGCCTTAGGATGCTGAATCTACTATTTAAAATGCTTGGCATTTCAGTTCAGAGGGCCCTGGCTTTGCAACATTATGGGTCATCATGTTGAAATAGAATACATTCACACACACACATATTGTGTATTATATATTGCTCCTAACTGTGCATACTAAAAGAGAAGTGAATAAGTTTGTTAAGTTGTACTGCTGCTGTTGGCGGTTCAATGAGAGAGGTCTTAAAAAAAGAGACAGATGCCTGTTTTATAATTTCTCTTATTTTATTATTTGATGATAATACATTAATTAAAAATACAGCATTTGACTACAATGAATCCTTTAATTTTTCCACAAGAACAACAGAGGATAAAACAATGTCAGGGTGTTTAGAAACAGTCACAACAGAATTCTCCAATCTTCTTGGCTTTAGTTGTAACATGTATGTGTGTGGAAAACACCAATCTATGCTGACCAGACTAATATGCCTTCCTATTTTTCTAAACGCTTCAACCTTCAGCTTGCCAAGGTGCAATGACTCCTCATTTGAAATGGCACATAGAACTGGCAAGTGGCAGGGGACTGAGTCCTGGACATCACTGTTAAACATAGTCCCACTACTCTCTTTCTCCTCTCCTTGCTGTAAAGTCATTACAGCAACAAATTCAAGGACATCATCACCTTCCTTCACATTCTTCCACTTGCTTCTAACCATTCAAACTTGTTCTGATTAGGACCTAGAAAGCATCCTATTTTAGCTTTCTCAAGCCAAACTCAGAAATCCATCCATTATCCCATATCTCATCCCCTTTGCCCCTAAAAAGATTCACAGTATCACTGTGTAACTTTAAGAAGGGTTTTTTTTTCTTCAAACTCTTTGTTTGGATTTGTTGTACCACCTTTCTTTCCTTTTCTTAGTCCAATGGGCTCTCCCTAATCTCTCGGGTGTTCAAAAGTACACAGTAAAGAAAGTGCATAATACAGTACATCTATTTGGTTAAACATAGCCAGAGCTTGGAAAATTCACTTTTTTGGATTACAACATCCAGAATTTCCTCAGTCAGCATGCTAGCTGGGGGATTCTGGGAGGTGTAGTCTCCAAAAGTCAAGGTTTTGGGGCTGTGAAACACACACACATGGATGCAATCACAGTCTTTGCTCCTTCCCAAAGGAGTTTATCTCGATGGAGTCAGTTCTAGCAAGTCTTTTCTATCTATCTGGGCCCCTTGAGATGGTCCTCATGCAGCAACAGACACAGAGGCCCGAAGAATCCAAGCCAGTTCCTGAAAAGGAACCATTGGGTTTTTTTTTTTTCAGGAGGAGGGAAGATGTCCCATAAGCCTCAGCCTCTCTGGGCCTCTTGAGACATGGAGCGGGACAATGAGCGTGGCAGGCCAGCTTTCTTGAAGTCGGGGCAGGTGGGTTGGACAACGGGAGGCAATTCCTTGGTGATCTCCGCCAGAGGTTTCTTGTCAAGACACACGCCTGTCACTGGCAGTGACTCCACAAACTCAGAGGGAGTGGGCGTGTATTCCCTGGCACTCAACTTGGTGGGGGTGAAGAGGGGCAAGGGCAAAGCCCGCTGATACGGCAGGTGATAGGAGGTCAGGGGTTCACCCAGCAGACCCAGGCGGAGGATACCCCAGGGTGACCGCTGCACTATGACTCGAGCTTCCTGTTGCTGGCGGTAGGTCTCTTTGCGCCTCTTGTCCACTTCAAACCGATTCCAGCTGTGGAGAAGAGAGAAAGAATCAATATTAGGTTCACCTCCAAAAGATCTCCCAACAGTACAGAATTTCCCAAAAATTGAATTTCCTGTGCTTATGGTTAATAGTGAGAATTGGAGTAACTATGTTTCCTCCCAATAATGTCAACCTACTCAGAAAACCAAAAGGGAATTGTGAAAAGCTCTCCAAAGTGGGTGAACTGGGCAAGATTCAAGGAAATGCTTCTTCACGCAGCATATAGCTAGGCTATAGCAGGCATGAGCAAACTCCAACCCTCCAGGTATTTTGGACATCAACTCCTACAATTCCTAACAACCGGCAGGCTGGGTTGTTGTAGATTTTTTCGGGCTGTATGGCCATGTTCTAGAGGCATTCTCTTCTGACGTTTCGCCTGCATCTATGGCAAACATCCTCAGAGGTAGTAAGATGCTTGCCATAGATGCAGGCGAAACGTCGGGAGAGAATGCCTCTAGAACATGGCCATATAGCCTGAAAAAACCTACAACAACCCAGTGATTCCGGCCATGAAAGCCTTCGACAATAAACTAGTAGGCTGTTAGGAATTGTGGGAGTTGAAGTCCAAAATATCTGGAGGACCAAAGTATAGCCATGCCTGAGTTCACTACCACAAAATATGGTGATGGCCAACTATTATCAGAGGTTGGAAACTTCTGGGTTTCCAGATATTGGTGAACTTCTACTCCTATCATACTTCATTGTTATCCTGATTGGTTAATGTTGATGGGACTTGGGTGCCAGGGTCCATAGGATCTAGAAAACCATGGATTACCCAGCCCTGACTTCACTGAGTTTAAGTGTAAATGAGATTAATGGGGAATAAAGCAATCAATGCCAATGGCTGGAGGACATGAATAGGAGGGGGTATACCATTCTGTGCCTCTTTTGGTTGAGCTTTGATGAGGATCTGCTTGGCCGATCATAGAAAAGATGACACTAAACTAGAAAGAATCTACTGACTATGGACAAAGTAAAGCAGTCTTTCTCAGACTGTGTTCCTTCAGGTGTTTTGGACTTCAACTCCCAGAAATCCTAGCCAGCTGTTAAGAATTGTGGGAGCTGAAGTCCAAAACATCTGGAGGAGCACAGTTTGAGAAACTCTGAAGTAGAGGAGGGGAGACAGCCATCCTCCAGGTGCTTTGTTTGTGAGCTCCCCAGAAGAATTTGCTTGGCCCTTTCTTGAGGCAGAAAGCATGTGCAGCTGGACCTAAACTCTTGGTCAGGAAGGCTAGCTAAGGGTTCTAGTATGAAAAGTAATTTTCTCAGCCTCTGGTCTGAATCAGCAATGCGAATTCATAATCTTGTTCATCTCTTGTATGCATTGAGTATATAAGATTACACATTAAGTAATCACAAGTATGCACTGCACACTTTTTTTCAACTCACTGCATCCATTTAAACAGTGCTGTGTTGCTGGTGGTCTGACTCAATGGTCATTGTCTCTCGACCTTACTATTTTTCACACACACACACACACACACACACACACACACCCCGCCCTTTAGGACTTCCTTTATTTCCCCTTTTGTCAAAATGTAGGCTCTAAGATCCTCATGCAGAGGTGTGTTACTGCTCCTTGATACAATACTATGGATGGGATAATGGCTATATACACCCTGATATATACACTGGATATATACACCAGAGCCCCCGGTGACACAGTGGGTTAAACCCCTGTGCCGGCAGGACTGAAGACCGACAGGTCGCAAGTTCAAATCCGGGAAGAGGCGGATGAGCTCCCTCTATCAGCTCCAGCTCCTCATGTGGGGACATGAGAGAAGCCTCCCACAAGGATGATAAAACATCAAATCATCTGGGCGTCCCCCGGGCAATGTCCTTGCAGACGGCCAATTCTCTCACACCAGTTTCTCAGGTCGCTCCTGACATGACAAAATATGATAATAATAACTGATGCAGACCATTTACAGCACTGTAGCAAAGCTCATGCCAACCCAAAATGACGTTGCTATGGAGCAGCCTCTTCATCCTGGTGACCCTCCAAAAGATGTATTATGGCTGAGTTGGCTGGAGTTGGTGGGAGTTGTAGTCTAACACATCTGGAGGACATCTTGGAGAAGCCTACTTTGAACCATAGCAAAGAGAAAATATTCCTGATATCTCAGGTCTCTAATTCCTACCTATTTCTCACTTCTTATTGAACCCAGTTTAGACCCATATCTAAACAATTAGATGGATCTACCAAAACTTTGCCACGTTTCATAGTCTTCTTTCAAGAATCCCAAACCTACCAATAATTTTGTGACCCTTCTTATTATGACCACTTTGACCAAGCCTGACCCAAACGTTGCCTAACCCGAGATCATCAAAAGACTCACCCTTCTTCAGGACGAGTGGTGAGAGATAGGTCTTTCCATTCAGCGGAGAAGGATTCCTTCCGTGCCGTGTTCCTCTCAGACACCTGGCAAGCCAGTTCAGCTGCGGACAGTGTCCCAGAGCTTCTCAGGACCACACTCTTGCCGTGCATTGTTGCGTCTGTGTCTCTTCTTCGGCTGGGATGTGAATGTAAAGCCTCAGTTCTGCCTGGGCTATTGTCCCAGCCACGGGTGACTTATATAGTTTTCCGAGTGCCCATTCCCGAGGGATTGGCGTCTGGAGCTAAACTAGGCATGCTGAGTCACTGGTGGAGCATTCTGACACTGGATACGACACTGATCCCTCTCCCTCTTTTTTCCTCCTCGGGTTGTATGTGTTATTGGAAACTACATTTGTGATGCTATAATATGTTATGTTCATTTAACCCTCCTCCTCCTGGTGAGAACTGCTGTCAACAGGCTGTTTAAATGACAGTGTGAAAGATCAAAAGGGTCTGACAGTGTTTTGGTGAAAGATTTTACATCAAATACTTTTCATTTAAAGTGGACTCCCTGAAGCTGAGATATAGTCAGTTTGCTTTTGGGTCTCTTGTCTGTGACAACAGGTGAATCATAAGGATATGTGTGCATTTGTGATCATATGCAGATGACATATGTTTCCTTTTCATTAAGGATAATGAAATTTCATCCAAAGTTTCAACTACTTTAGACTTTGGAAGCTCTGCAATTATTTGGGATTGATCACAATACCACAATTGAAGAGAGATATTGACAAGCTGGAATGTGTCCAGAGGAGGGCGACTAAAATGATCAAGAGTCTGGAGAACAAGACCTATGAGGAGTGGCTTAAAGAGCTTGGCATGTTTAGTCTTCAGAAGAGAAGGCTGAGAGGAGACATGGTAGCCATGTATAAATATGTGAGAGGAAATCATAGGGAGGAGGGAGCAAGCTTGTTTTATGCTGCCCTGGAGACTAGGACGTGGAACAATGGCTTCTGAATTGAAATCTTAATCAATGTTGAATTCATGGTTATATTGAGATAGAATCATAGAGTTGGAAGAGACCTCATGGGCCATCCAATCCAACCAGGCCCGTAGCCAGGATTTTGTTTCGGGGGGGGGGGGGGGGGGGGAATTTTTTTTTAGGGGGGTTTCGGGGGGGGGGTGAGTTTCGGGGGGGGCGAGTCTGAGTGAAAGAGGGTCTAGCCTAGCAAACCTTTTGTATCATTACCCCAATACCCCCATGCATATGGGATATATTGAGTATGGTGATCAGATCATGATATGAATAAACATAACAGTTTAAATAATGCACCAATAAGGCCTTTTTGCGAACCACCATGAAAATTTCGGGGGGGGGGGCTGAAGCCCCCCAAGCCCCCCCCCCCCCCCCCCCCCCCCCCCGGCTACATGCCTGATCCAAATGCGAGCAGTGGAAAATTCATAGGGAGGAAGGAGCAAGCTTGTATTCTGCTGCCCTAGAGACTAGGACATGCAACAATAGCTTCAAACAACAGGAAAGGAGATTCCACCTGAACATTAGGAAGAACTTTCTGACTGTGAGAGCTGTTCAGCAGTGGAACTCTCTGCCCTGGATGTGGTGGAGGATCCTTCTTTGGAGGCTTTTTAACAGAGGCTGGATGGCCATCTGTCAGGGGTACTTTGAATGTAATTTTCCTTCTTCTTGGCAGGGAGTTGGACTGGATGGCCCATGAGGTTTCTTCCAAGTCTATGATTCTGTCTCAATAGAACCATAAATTCAACATTAAGATTTCAATTCAATTAAGTCAATTAATCAGAAAGGATTCAGCATCCAAATTTAGAGGTTTTCACCTTTATCGGCACTGAATCAAGACGTGAAGTCAAGCTCATGCTGAGACTCAGCAGAACTTATGAGCCAGCGAGTGTGCAATTCAGAAAGGCATTTGGTGATGGATAGAAAGGTTGAGAGATTACTTGATGGGAGTGCCCTGTGCTGAGCCGGCACAGCTGTGTGACGTGTCTGCAACATGAAGTCACTGGAAAGAAGATCTTTCCATCCAGTCACTCAACCCACCCACTCACCCACCCACTCAGGTTTCAGGACCATCATGCCAGCCCTTCTGCATGATAACTTATACATACACACAAACACATATACCCAGAACCAGCCTCATAGACTCCTTCCCCACCCTTAGGGAAATACAATGTCAAAGGTCTGGCCTTACAGGGAGAGAATGTCCTGTAAAGAGGGGAACTAGGGACAGGCTAAAACAACATGGGTTGTTGACTAGGCAAAGGGCCACTAGGGAGAGAGGGGAGTCAAAGATCTGTGGGCAGGACTAGGCAGGATTCTTGCAACACGTGGAAGCCCCACACTCCAGAAGGATGATGCCAGAAGTGGGAAGCAGGGAAGAGAGGGAGGATACAAAGAAGTGAGGTAGAGATTCAGAGACAGCCTGGGCTTAATCCCATCATAGAAGCTCCCTGAGATGACCTTGGACTTAGATGCCCTCACTCAACATCACCTGGTATACTGGATTGTTGGGTGCATAAGATATCAGACATGTGCCCACCATGTATGCCTCCTCAAACTCATTGAAGTACAGAGGAAATGTGATAAAGAAATAAAGCTTTGTTTGTTTGTTTATTTATTTATGACATTTATATGCCGCCCTTCTCACCCCAAAGGGGACTCAGAGCAGCTTACAAGATATATATATATACATACAATATATTATATTATTAGCATAGTACAATATCAGTATTAAATATTACTATATTGTACTATACCATTATATTGTAATATTATTAGTAATATTACATGTAATATAAATATATCATTATAATATTATAATATTATTAGTATTATATTGCATTACATTATAATATTATAAATATTATATGTACATACAATATATTACATTACATTATATTTTATTATGTTATTAGCATAGCACAGGAGACAAGGTGAACTGTTCCCTGGCCCCTTCTCTCTTCATTCTGGTCCGGAGCGGCAGTTGGTACTGGCGGGGAAGGGTCCCCAAATGATGACATATGCAGGAGATAAGATGGGACTATCCCCTGGCCCCCTCTCTCTTCACTCTGTTCCAGAGCAGCAATTGGTGCTGGCGGGGAGGGGTCCCCAACTGATGACATATGCAGGAGATAAGATGGAGCTGCCCCCTGGCCCCTTCTCTCTTCACTCTGGTCCAGAGTGGCAATTGGTGCTGGGTGGAGTGGTCCCAGCTGATGATGTATCCCCTTTATGTTTATGTAATTTAAGGGAGAAATATTAGCATTTAAGAAACATAGGAAGCTTCCTTATGTCAATCGAGCCCACGGCAGTCTTATCATGGGTGGTTGAACATGGATCTGGGGATTTCATCACAAAGAACTGGAGAAAATGAGGGAAAGTGGGGGAATGGGTAGAGTTTCGTGGAGTTCTGTTTTAAAAGAAGATGAAGAATTTATGAAGATGAAGAGGCGATCTAGGGCCCCTTCCACACAGCTGAATATAATCAAGAATATCAAGACAGAAAATCCCACATTATCTGCTTTGAACTGGATACATGGCAGTGTGGACTCAGATAATCCAGTTCAAAGCAGATATTGTGGGATTTTCTGTCTTGATATTCTAGGTTATATGGCTGTGTGGAAGGGCCCTAGATCACCTCCTCCAGCTTCTAACTGAACCACCCACTTAATTCCCATTACATGAGCAGATGATGACTCCTCTCATTTCAAGGATACCCTTTTAAAAAATAAGTATCCTTTAAGGCAGCACTGCCTTCAAGACCCTTCCACTGAAGCAGATTTAAGGCATTTTTCTTAAGGTGTCACTTTCCATGGGGTTGTTTGAACTCAAGACCCTTCTACTTAAACAGAAGCACCTTTCTTAAGACGGCACTTTCCTTGGGGGTTGTTTGCACTGAGATGTCCTCCCATTATCCCTCCAGGATTTTGATTATTTGTCTTTTTATAAAACATCACCCCGGATCTTAGGAAATTAAATTAACCCCTATCTTTCCCAGAGCCCTTGCACTGGTGATTGATCTTTCTCCAAGCCTCTGTATTGGCAATCTGGGGAAACAGGCATTTTGGCTCCTCCCACACACATCATCATTGTTATATTTACAAGCAGGCAACAAAAACAGGACACGGGATTAACATCACAAAAGGAAGTTATTGTTAATATTGGATCATAACCTGTTAGGATCACTGACCATCGGGGTATAGATTATGAACTGATTACTAACAGTTTCTTCATAAACTGTGTTGCTTTATACAGCTCTATTTAGTAAAAGTTTACTTTCAAATAAACACAAACTTCAACAGTTTCTAACTTTCTAACATGAGCTTCTGACAGACTTCTATACTCAAGCTCATTCAAGGCACAACACAATTCTCTAATAGTCATTCCTCAACCAACATTCCCTAACTGTCATCCTGTTTAAACTTGAACATTCTAAATTATCACCGAGTCAGTCACATGACCTGCAGCCCCTCCCACTGCTGTAGGTATATAGAGATAAGGAAACTGCAAATCAAAGAAGACATATACTTCAGGTTATAAAATGATACATTACAAAACAGACAAATATCATATAGAGGAGGCTTGAGAAGGTTGCTTCCTCCAACAGAACCTGGCCATTTTGCCTATAGGGAATTTAAAAATAAGTTGATTGCCAACCAGCTTAGGAATTGTTGGGAAAACCAACACTTTAGGAACAGCAAAAACCTCACCCTCACAGCTGAAACTTGCATTGTGTGAAGGGCAGCAATAGAAACATTGATTTTACTATGTGTGATGAAGTCATGGGTATTCAAGAATACACCACTCATAATCCTTTATCACTGGTAGTAGATACTGTAGATTCTGGGAGCTGAGATCCTAAGGAAGCTCCTCGTTTCTCACTTACATGCTGTACAATTATGAATTCCTTACTTTAACTGTTGTGGCTGCATCCTAAGGATTCCTGAGCTTTGTAGTCTGCTAAGACACCAGACCTTTCTTGATGAGAATTCTAAAAGCTTCTTCCTAAACTACATATCCCAGGACTTCATAGGCTTCATCTGTGGTGGTTAAAGTGGGTTCCACGTGCTATAATAACTGCATAGTGAGAGAATGCAAAGAAGTAACTGTATTACTCTGGATCACTGTGCAAAGGGATCTCTGAGAATAAGATGAAGAAGTTGGTAGCTTAAGCTCTGGTAGACTTAAGTCTTCTTCCTCAAATGCATGAAGTGAAATGCCTAATAGCTACATGAATGAGCAGGTTGTATGTGTGAAGAGCAATAGAAATGCGAACTTGTGGGTATGGTGATTAGGTGACAAATTCAGTTTTCCTCTTGCCTTGTTATCAACCTCATCACCATAACCACAAATGCTGCATTTCTATTGCTATTCTCATATGAAACATGAAGCAACTGCTTGCTTCCAGAGTGTGGTGAGGTGGTGGAGTGTGTGCTGAGAAAGAGAGAGTACATGCAATCATTTTTTTAAATGCTCTTCTCCATCCTCTGATCTGTTGTTGACTGATAACAGAAAGTAGCACCTTTCCTACATAGCCTCCAGGCCTTCCCTTATCTTGGGAAGGTGGGAAACATATCCCAGACACTACTGTTGACATGTATACGATTGCATTAGAACAACCTGTTTTTATTCTCAGCTTCCCCAACTGAGCCTCTAACAACCAGATCTAATGTTAACAGAGTGCATCTCTGCACACGATTACACAACAAAACAAAAAATCAGTTTATTTGCTGATGACA